TCATTTATCTCTAACAAAAATGTCAGTTTCTTAGAGATAAGTTCAACTGCCTGTTACATGAGCTAAAGCACAGAAAGCCCTTTATCTCTAAACTGTGTAGAACCTAAAACCAGTGTGTCTCTATTGTTATGATGTTCAATAATGCGTTTCACGACACCACGTTGAGGGAATAATGACTTTAGATGGGAACAGAATAAGCTGTTACTGTACAGTTTTTCTGAATGCATTCTACCAAAKCAACTCCACCTTTCCAAGCAATTCTTCAGAACTTTCTTGACAGAAAATCATTATTTGTTTTGATTTTGAAGAAATGAATGTTGGTTGTCTATTGTGCACAAATAGGATAGAAGATATTAGGACCACACTTGTATCTAAGCCTAAGTTTTAACTTATGGCTGCAGGATCAGCAAAGCGCCATTTAGCATTTTAATCTGTTTAAGTCTTACTGTATAATCAGGGTATAATACATGGAAGTTAAACAAATGCCTAAGGATGTACTTGGGCTTGGACTTTGGCTGAATAGACATGGAATAGACATGGAATACCTGTTTAACATTAAGAATGCATTTAAGTAGCAACATCTGGTTTGAGAATAAACTGATGCCCCTAAGATAAGTTTCTGTATGGCTAAAGAGAGCGTGCATGCCTAAGTCTTGGAAAGCGGCTTCTCAGGTCAGCTCTCCAGCTTGGCCTAGCCCTGGAGGCACCTGGGTTTCCATTTGGTTGGCCGAGTTCCCTGCATGTCAAAGTTCAGGCACTCCCAGGGATCATTGCTGGCTGCAGATTGGTGCCTAATTCCCAGGTAACCTCCAGTGTAATTGAGGACTGAGGTGGCGATTGCCTCACCTTTGGCTAGGGCTGTTCAGACTGCTTCCTCAGGCGGTTTTGGGCACTTGCTGGTTTATGTCTAGCACAAAGAGCAGAGGTAGGGGCCTGCTTTTCAGAGGTTGTGTCTAGATGCAAAGGTGAGAAGAAAGATGGACAAAAGATTTGACTCACAAGGTTATGATCTCATTCTTGGCACTCAGTCTGGAGAAATGTGTGTTCATACTTCACATTTTTTCATCATAGTATTAAAAAAAAAGGCTGTGTAATGTAAAATGAATATTTTGAAGGAAAAAAACTTGAACGTGATGAATCACTCTAGCATCTTTTTTTTTTTCTTTTTGACGTCAGTAGGTCTAGTAGCATCGACTTAATGAAGAGGAATTTTCATACTGATGTTCACTGTTTTTTCCCCAGTGTATCCACTGGCATTGTCTATTAGATGATTATTTTTCAGTGCTATTGTGCTAGTGCAAATGTCTTAGAGGTTTTGTTTTTAAATGTCTAACCTTAGAGTCCTTAAAGTCTGGCCTTAGATATGTAACTTTAAAGGTTAGAGGCTTTCCAGCACAAAATATCTCATATCTAGGATAAAGAGCCCTTGTCTCCTTTCTTTTTAATGCAGGACTCACATCAGGCTTTTGAACACAGTCACTTCCAATGACTGTATTTGAATAGATACACAGATCTCTCATTTAGTTTTCAGGCTTGAACGTTTAATTTCAAGTAACTGTAGGTTTCCTGTTTTTTTTTTTTTTTGTTTTGTTTTGTTTCTGTGACGGATATGCTTGGATGTTCATGGAATTATGTAAAGTTTATTGTGACATACAAATCTCCAAGTGTTGGAATCCGCTAACGCCTCGGGTGCACAAAGGCACAGGAGAGGAGCCCTCATCCCTCTTGGAAGCACTTCTCAGCAGAGGGCGTTTGTGAGATGTGTGACGTTCCTCCTTCCTGCACAGACTGATTTTGCATCCCTACATTTGGGAATTACTGATGAGATAGATTAACCTCCCACGAYTACAAGCAAACAGAGTCCCTGCCCAGATATGCTCCACCTGCGCTGGCTGTTTCATGTTATGCAGTTTCTTTCTCACCAGAGAGGAATATGTGTCACTTATCTCTCCCTGCTTTGCTCCTGTGCTGAGTATTGCGTCACAGCTGCATGATGAGATTGTCCCTAGACCRTAATCTGAAATAACATTCAAGGGGATGGATGCACTCTTTTGTTTGAAAAGTGCAAGATGAACAGTTTGTCTGCAAGGATTTGAATTCCGGCTGTTTTATGTCAGGGTCTGTGGATCTTTTACCTCTCCTTTTCCCCTCTGAAGGAAATTATATTCATGCTGGTTAAGTATATTCCCCTGTCTTTACACAGACATCCGTTGAATGACATCAGAAGCATAATCTAACTTTCTGTTTCCTTTGAGCTGGAGGCACTCACAGGCTTTAAAGCTTATTTCCTTGCTATTCAGAGTTTTGAAAATACACAGTAGGTAAAATGAAGTGCTGGTGAAATTCAAGAACAAAAGTTCCAACTTAATACATTTCTGTTTTCTCTAGCTTGGAAATTCCGTCTTTCACTCTGAAGAACAAGTATAACTTGCAAGGATATAAATTCTCCTGGAGGCTGGCAGTAGGAGTTTTGGAGTGCTACAAAAAAAAAAAAAAAAAAAAAAGGGGTCTATTCACCTCTCCCCACACAAAATGAAGTTTATTCCAATAAAAGCTTTACAAATGTTCATCTGTCGATATTTCTCACGAAGACTCAGCTTTTTGATCTCCCAGCTAAATCAGTATTTAAAGACATGTTGCCTGTAAACTACTCTTCTGATGGGAGTCATATTTGTTGATATAAATCCATTTTCAAATAAATAACTGAAAGGATCACAGTTCATATACTAGCCTGACATGATTAAAGCCACATATTGTTCTACTGGAGGAAACTAAATAGAATGACTCATATATATTTTGAAGGAACTTGAATATCAGTGGTCTTCAAAAAAAAAAAAAAAAAAAATGCATTCAGTGAAGCAGAGGATACCAATAGTTTTGAAAATTACCCAAGCCAATAGTGTAACTGGCTCAGAGCGAGGTAGCTGAGTTTGATATAGGGTGAAGGAAAACATCAGAAGCTTTATGTGAATTCCCATTAGCTGCCAAGTGGTAAATGTAAAAGTGGTAAATAAAAGCCCACAGTGGCTCTTTCCAGTGGGATTTTCTAGGTTTTCTAATAAACTAGTTATCATCATAGGAATCAGTAATTTATAGAACAGCAATAAAATATATAGTGAGGAAAATGAGAAGAGTCAAAAAGAAAAACATTAACAGAAATGTGGCTTTTAAGAAGCAGTGATACTTTTTATTTAATAATTTTAGGACTATAAGAGGTAATTTAAGATAAAACATTGATGTCTTAAATTCAGTTCCTGTACTAGATAGCAGACTATTAACAAGTCATCTTACACACGTTGCACACTTTGCTCCTGGCATTTTAATCCGTATAAGCTTGTCCTTCATGTGCTCATTTTTGTTTCCATACACCTGTCATAGGCCCATAGAGCTGCAATGTTTAAACAATATGAACAAGGAAGTTCACTGCAAGCTCTTACATACTTCTTTTTGGGGAAAGGAAGGGAAAACAAACAAACAAGCAAACAAGCAAACAAGCAAACAAACAAACAAGCAAACAAGCAAACAAACAAACAAGCAAACAAATAAAAAACAGTCCACAGAGCAAGTTTCTGACAAATGCTGCTGTTCTTCTGTTTTAACTCTTTATATTGAAAATATGAATCCCGTAGATTTCAGCATATTTTTCTGGTACCTGGTTTAATGGATTCTAGTGGAAACAGATAGGACCATTTGGGAAGTAAACATATGTTCGCACATTGGGAAGAATAAAAGGAAAAAAACAAAACAAAACAAGAAACTCTGCTACCTCATTGAAAAGCAAGAGACTCTGTGGACAAGTGCTACACTTGGACAAGACAAGCAACATTTAATCTCCAATTTCATGTACCATTTGCATAGCAAATCATGGATAAGTTGCACTGGCTATCCCCATTTCCATAGTTGAGACAAGTTGAGACAAATAACCTTACAAATCCAACCCTAAAACTCCAGGGCCGCTAATGTCTTTGAGCAGGACCTGTTCAGAACAAACCACTGGGCAAGAGAAACAAAATCCTTTCAGTGCCTTCTCTTTCTCTACACATCCCACTGAGTTTCAAGTGCTTTCAGATGGGTAAATTGTGAAGATCCATGCCTGGAAAAGATGCTTTCCTGAGGCAACCCCACTCCTCGCTGGATGATGTGGACCACTCTCCAGTTTTACAGCAGCTCTCCTGGGCTTTGGTAGTGGTGGGAACGTGGGCTCGGGAGGCTCCTCACCTGCCATCCCATAGTCAAGGGGGAAGAGGGCGGCTCTGCAGCTTCCCCCGCGCCAGATCCGCTYTGGCCCCTCACGGCTGGGGCGAGGGTCGCATCCTCCTCGCGCTGCAGGAGGCCGGGAGGGCTCCTCCCACCTCCCGGTATTAAACGGACTGAGTGAGGAGTGAGGAGTGAGGAGCGGGCGACTCCGCGCCTCGCATCCAGCGGCTCCGCGGGGCTCCGCGGGCGCGGGGCGCTCAGCACCGAGCTCCGGGGCAGCGGCTCCGCGGGGCTCCGCGGGCGCGGGGCGCTCAGCACCGAGCTCCGGGGCAGCGGCTCCGCGGGGCTCCGCGGGCGCGGGGCGCTCAGCACCGAGGTGCGGGACAGCGCCCGGCGCCCCGCGGGCGCGGAGCGGCTCAGCTGCGGCGCGCGGTGCCCCGGGCGGGCTCCGGGCGCTGCCCCTCTCGGCGGGCAGGGGCTCCGGAGGCTGCTGCTGCTGCTGCCGCCTTCGCGGCATTGGCTTCCTCCAAAGTTCAGGGTTATCCCCTTGTGCCCGCCAGGAAAAAGGGGTTGGCAAAATAGCTGGAAGGGAGCAGTGTGTTTGCTTTTTATTTTCTCCGCCCTTTCCCGCTGCGCCGGCCGGCTGCCTCCTCTGCGCTGCTGAGGGAAGAAAACTAGACGGAGAAAAAGGAGGAGGAACAAGGCCAGGAGGGAAAGGAGAGAAAGTTGGCTTGCTTGCAGGGAGGTGAAGCTTTTCAGTGTTTCCTGCTGCATTTTACATTGGAGCCCTGAAATCTCTGGAAGATGGAAGCAGAGCTGCTGCCTGGGTTCACAGTGATGCCCCTTGGAGAGAACAGGAGCACTCCCCCAGAAACAGACACGGCCCTGCTGCCCCCTGCACGGGGCATGGCCATGCTCACCATCCGCTGCGTGATCCCCTCGCTCTACCTGCTCATCATCACCGTGGGCTTACTGGGCAACATCACCCTCATGAAGATCTTCATCTCCAACAGTGCCATGAGGAGCGTGCCCAACATCTTCATCTCCAGCCTTGCCGTTGGTGACCTACTGCTGCTGGTGACCTGYGTGCCTGTGGATGCCTCCCGGTACTTTTCTGAGGAGTGGCTTTTTGGGGAGGTGGGCTGCAAGCTCATCCCCGTCATCCAGCTCACCTCCGTGGGGGTCTCTGTCTTCACCCTCACTGCTCTCAGCGCTGACAGGTAGGAAAGCCGGGCTGCCCCTTCCCAGCTCTCTGTGGCTTGGGCTGGGGCTGGCCGGAGCTGGCACAAGAGGTAAGGAACCCTCCTCTGATAAAGTTTTCCCTGGCTTTCAAACTCCTCACTCTGATGCATGAGCTGCTCACACTGCTATTTCCCTCACTGACTGATTGCATGTCTGGTAATAACTTAAGTTAAAAGGCTTCTGGAAGTGGATACATCTGCAGCTCTGACTTCCAAGGCACCACCTGTGGGAACTGGGATGTAGTCCTGGCTTCTGTATCGATGGAATGGCCTTGGAACAGCCTATGTGTTGAAATTTTATTCATTAGAGGAAGATTTTAGACCATAAATACGGTATGCCAAGCTACAGTGGCATGTAAGGCAGTGAGCAGCTTAGGTTAAGTCCATCACAGATGTATTTTAATAGGTTTGTTTCTTTCTGCAGAGGAAGTGTGTGTGTGTCCAGAGGTRTGTATATGTGTGTGCACCTTACCAGGGCAACAAGTCACCAGAGGGTGACTTGTTTAGCAGCCTGAATTTGAATGCACCAACATGTACTTTTCTAATTATCACTCTTAAACTTTCAGGTCATACTATGCATTTCAGCTTCTCCTGATCACATGAGAAGGGGAAAAAAATACATAAAGAAACACTTCCATTTCTAACACCTGTCAATTTAGGAAGAAAGAAAGAGCTGGACCCCAAACTTTTCCTCCTAATTAATTTAAATGAACATACTTAAGGGATTTGTGTTAATTGGATAGCTGTGGGATTGTGCTTCAGGCTGTGAAAGACCAAGTATTAAAATGTAATCGACAACTTCAGATTAAATTATCTCATTTTTTTCCCCCTTATCTAAACATTTCAAACACAAATGAAAATGTTAAATTCCTTCTCTGTAGATAGTGTCTTTTTGTTGTTGTTGATTTTTAACCAAATAAATTTTTGTTACACTGGACTGCTATGCAAAAGCTTTAATATGATTTTTTTTCAAGTTTACTATAATGATTTTTTTGAACTTTTAACTCTTGATCTACTGAGTATAATCTCAGTCAGTTCAGTAAATCATTTGATTCCTTCTAGGAGTACTATTCAATGACTCTCCGTTTCAGTGGTATTTGAATCAGAACCTATAATACTTGTGTGTTAAAGCCTTGTAATATATGAAGATGGATTCAGATTTTCAGGAATATATTGCAGAAATACTTTAAAATGACTGGAAATCCCCTCTTTACGTCAGTTAAACAGTATACCTCAAACTGTCCTTGGAGAGCCAAGTAAATCTTGAATTTTGCTTTCTGCTCTATTGCCACCATTTAGAATTGTGATTGGAATCTTATTTCAAGTGGGAAGAAATTATTTGCAAAAAAAATCTTATCTCTAGTTTAGTACAATGAGAGGGAATAGTGGTGTCTTCATAATGAAGGATTCATTCATTTGCTTTTTATATAGCTTTTGAGCTTCTATTTTTGCCCTTTGTACCTAATTTTGTATTCTTGTTTTAAAATCAGTTGTTTCAACAGTTAATAATGCTCAGTCTGTGTGCACTGTATGCATTCAGAATTGCATATCCTAGAGAGCAGCTACAGATGGTTTGATGTAACAATATAAGCTTATAATAAATATATTCCTCCAATGTTTTGGAATCCACACTATATACAAATATCAGAAATGATTTTATTAAGGACTTAATATCAGAAATTGCTATACTAGGGACTTAATGACTCTATTTCTTTTTCCTCTTTTATTAATTTTCCAATTACTGAGTATAAAAACATTGTTCACTCAGGCAGGAGGAATAATCATTGACTTCTGTGAACAGTATCTTTTTGCTAGGGGATTCAACTCTCAGTGAAGCTGGCTGGACTGTTGTCTTAATGGAATTTGAATCATTGAATTGATACTCTGTTTTGTGCAGCTGAATTTGTGCTGAAGGAGGAGACGCTGGTGCTAAGGGTTTTTTGTCACACTAATTTGTAGCTAGATGCTAGCAGGCATCATGTTGACTAGGTTTAGTTAGGGGAAAGAATATGGGTAGTTATATCAGCAAATGAAAAGTGGTGGAAGCTTCTTAAAGCAAAGAGGTGGTGAGGAGGTAAGACCCGTCTTGGACCAGTAGCATCCCTGAACAACTGAAGCTAGTACAGAATGTGTGAATGCAGCCGGGAAGCAGTGATATGGCTAAAAAGGCTTCATTTATATTCCAGCACATGTTCTGTCTGGTATGCAATAATGTCTTCTCACTGACAACTTTCACAAAGAGTGTCCAAAGTAAGTTTTAGTATTTGATCACTAAAGTCTTTCCTATATTTTACTTGTTTTTACACAGGACTTTAAAGAAATGTAGACATAGATTACATGAAAGAAGTATTATAAATATTTATTTTTTATTTCAAGGTGGAAAATAAATAAAACTTTTTCTAATGTTCTACAGACATAAGTGCTAAAATAGACAGATATTTGGTGTTATATATAGTGTACTTGCCTTAATTAAGAAAACAGAGGATATCTCTGTTTCTACAGTGTTGTTAGCACTTATATATGTGAAATTCCTTGTTGAACATTTTGCATAGAAAATTATGTGCTTGTGATACATATAGCAATAATTGTTCCAGGAGCAATAATTTCTGAACTATCATGACCTACCAAAGGAAACTGTAAGAAAGAAAATGTAGTACTCTCTGAATAAATACCTTTTCTAAAGTTATTTCATATGGATTTTTGTCACAGAAGTCTCTTTCAGCATCACTAGCTCTTTCAGTGTGACAAATATTTAATTTCTCAGAGCTTCATAATYTGAATTTATCTTTATTTTTGTGTATGAACACTCTATGGCATCTATAACAGTGCTTTCGGACTTCCCTAAAACACACTGTTTAAAGTTAAAATTGGCAGCACACAGTGCATCTGCCTAAAATCMCTTATCCCCATTCTGGATAGCTGGTAGGAGTGGTGGAGACTGCAGTTTGGCAGTAGAGATGATGCAATGGTGGCAGTGGCACCGGCAGAGAAATGTGTTGGTGTCAGAGGGAAGCTGTCTTCCCTTGGCAAGGCTCGGTGGTGCAGGAAGGCTGTTCTGCTGAGCCAGCTGTCACATCTCACTACCACATGGGAAAGGGCAAGGACAGCATTCCTTCCCACCATGGCTACTGTTGCCGTTCATTTTCTTCTGTTGGAGAGGCARTGCCACATCCCTATAAACCTTAATGTTTCTTTGGTTAAAAAACAAATAATTATAGGTGATGATAAATGAGGRAAAAAAAAAAAAACTAAGGGACAAAATATGCAAAACAAGAAAATAGGGAACTAAGGGGGCACAGGGACTCCCAGAGCTGTGATAGGAGAAGGAAATGGAAGTGATGTTCCTATAAAAATTCCTTCTCATGGTGCTGTGGAGGTCAGGGCTAATAGATGTTGGTGAAAAGGTCCTAGGAATAGGTGTGCTCTTAGATGAGGAGGTAAGTGGTGAGAGAAGAATAGTCAGAAGGATTGCAGTATGGCACACACGAAGAAAAGGCATGCCACCATCTCATTCTCACTGAAGAATGGGCACAGTAAAGAATGAACCTAACTTGAGCAATCCTTGACTTCAAGCATATAATGAACTTGCCCACTACTTCAAGGAGGCTTTTCCAATTTACATCCATAGTGCACCTTGAAGTTATAGAATTATAACTTCAGAATTATAAAGTGAAGCTCCTCACTCTCTTCTCAGGGTAAGAGATATTGCCGTTTTGTGACAGAGGAAGGGCTAGGGTGGGGACGTGAAGAACTAGAATGAAGATGTTTTTCCAAAGCGGTGCTCAGAGATAGAGGGCTGGATTTACCATAGTTTGTGATGTGGAGGTGGCTGGAGAAATTCATGGGACAAAAGACTTTCAGACTTTTGGACTTTTAGGACTGCCATAGCACACACCTCTGTCCATCACTGAATTATTTGTATGCATGTTATAAGTAATTGTGTCCACAAAATTCCAAGAGACCTGCGGTGAGTTGACCTTGAAGGAAAAATAGCAGCTCCTTACAACAGCCTTAGATTTGTCCCATAGAGTCTTTTCGTTTCTCCTTAGCTATTGTTTATGCCTTACAAATAAAAGTGTAATACAGGGATCAAATTTCGTTGTTACTTTTTCTAGATTGATGTTTCTTTCTAATGAACAGTTCAAATGCCTTATATGTTGCACTCTTTTAAAAACAGTGAATCTAAACTGTGGAGAAACTGTCCCTACTAAATTCCAATAACATTTTCCTCCTAGTATGTATTCCTCCTAAAAAGTGTGACAAAAAGACAGCCTGGAATTACTTGAGCAATCAGATAACAGAATTATTTTTCATTACGTACACCACTACATATCTATATGTTAATAGGAAAATTTCTACTTAAGTAACTAAATATCGTTCCTGAGATATTTAAAAAATGTAGTCTGTAGGTTTAAATATTTAAATATTTAAAACTATTATTGTTTTAATTCTTTATTTGTTTTAATGTTGGAAGATTGCATTCTGTAATGCAAAAGCGTAAAGAGACTCAACAAAAGTTTAATGCAGATTTATCTACATCCTGACTTCAAAAAACTTTACTGGTTAAGTCTGCATGTGTACTGTCTCCTRTTTTTTCTGGGTACTCAGGGAAATAGTTTGAACATATTCAGGAGTATGAAAAGGATAAGGAGTTTAGAATTTTGGGTCAGCAAAAATACCTTCAATAAAGATGATTTATTGCTCCTCTACAGAATTCTTTTAAAATTTAATCTTTTGGTTAGTAAGATTGTGATTTGAGCTGAAATATAGTGATGAAAAGCCCTGTAAAATCCTCATTCCTCATTACATTCAGTGGAGCAGCTGAAGCAGGAGGGTGTAAACGATTTCCTTTTGAAATCTAACATCCAACATTTAGGGATAAAAAAAGCCTTGAGAAGTTAAGTAGCATTAAATGACATCCTGAAAACTAATTATGATTAACCAAGCAATAAAGAAAAAATAATCCATAGTAAAATGAA